ACCAGCTCGCCGCACTCGACCAGGTAATATACTACCTCTATACTTCTATACTAATATAATAAAGCGTAAACACACACTTCTTTGTTGCCTAAGATGTCAGCAATTACAGCATATTTTTAAATAATTCCTTTTTTAATAAAAAGCCATACACTTACGTCACGCTTTAGGCTATATATTTTCACGCCATTAAACTTAGGGTGTAAATATTATGGATTAAAACCCTAATGTGGGAAAGAGGCAATTAAGTTGCTGCCAACATCAAGGAAGCAAGATTGCCAAGTTTTGTCATGTCATGTCATTTTGACATTTGAAATTGACAATTTGACACATGTAAACAATAAAATAGTTTTATGCTGATGAAATCGCACGGGAACAGCTAGTACTAGTATAATTGCGAAAGATTTGGATTTTTGTATGTATTTGATTGACGAAAAAAACTATTGAGCTATCATCATCCTTATCCTACTCTCGTAGTGGTGCAACAGGCTTTTGTCCTTCACATAACTCTATATGTCATCTCAGTCATCACTCCCTTTTTGATCATGTCACCTTTCATGCAATCCATCCATCTCTTTCTACTATTGGGCCAATTATTAAAAATTCCTTCACTATTAGAAATGTAGTTTATCTGTAACATAGACTTATATTGTTAAATTTTACAAAGTCGTGAACAACAGCTAGTGTACGTATAAACTGATAATAAAACTAACAAACTTAAAAACTACTACCTCTACATCTATACCAAATTTTATCGAGGTCCGTTTAGCTGTTTAGGCTATAAACTATAACAAACATCTATACATCTAAACTTTCTCATTAATAGTAAAATGTCTCAAGTTGGGGATAACGAGATAATGGTCAAAATGTCAACTTCATATGAATAATTTTTGTTTTAGATTAAAAAGGGTGAGCCGTTGACTGATGAGCTGGTGAGAGAGTACGCGCCTCGACTGCGGTTCCTGTCACGACCACCCTCGCCGCAGACGCTTGATGACAGGTTGCTAATTTCTTCTATCTCTCTCACTCCTATGACTTTAATGAAAACAGCTATGTACAATTAAACCTTTTGTTTTCAGTTCTCAACCCTCTAGCAGTAACAATGATAAAAGTTCCTATATGAATCAAAGCCAGCACATGATAGTGCCCGTCGACGGCCACTGGCTCAACCTGATGATGGGCAAACGCTTCCACGAAAACCTCAACTCCAACTCCAACTCGGAGAATGATTCCACCAGCTCGTACGAGTCGGTGAAGACCAGCGAGCGCGACGAGAGACCCTCGCCCACGCCCGTCTGCACCACAGCAAGGAAACCTGATGCCAAAGACACAGACCACCAAGACCACCAGGACCACCCGGAGACCAACGAAGTCAGCGAGACCACGCCCCCCTCCAGCAGCGTCTCCCTCCCCTGCACCGTGCAGTTAGACAAAATACCCAAAGACAATATAGAAGATGTTAATTTTAACAAACCGTCCACCAGCACCGTTAACATTAACACACATACAACTAGAATAGCCACCATGAATCTAGAAGTATCCAAATTGTCCACTAAGAATATTATTGAACATTCCAAGATATTATCCCTCCAGCATATGGATAGTATACCAACTTACAGCAGTACCTTTATTCATGAAGTAGAGTCTTCCGGAGATGAGACTTCGAGCCGAGGCACATTAGATGTTATAATACCACCGCTAAAAGATTTTCAAGGCAAGAATAATCCGTTCCTAATGCAGAATAAGTATACATCAAAAATGCCATTCTCATCAGTGAATTTATGGAACAAACATAACGGGAAGCAGCATCACTTCCACTCGAGGTTCTCGTTGCCGGGGCAACTGAACCCACTGATGGGACCTATGATTAGACCAATGAAACGGAAACTTAGTGAAAAGGATATTGTGATTGGTCCTAATGGTGAGGTTAAAAGAAGAAAATACAGACGACCGAGAAAGTATATGCAGATGCAGGTATGTTCATTTTGTGTAGTTTATTAACTAGCTCTTGCTTGTGACTTCCCCAAGTGAAAATTAAAAATTAAAAAAAAACAGCCTATGTTACTCTTTGATAACATAGCATTTTAAAAGTGAAGGAATTTTTAAAATCGACTCAGCAGTTTTTGAATTATTGCAATACATAAAAAAATATTTCCTCTTTATAATATATTAGTTTAGTTTGATAATTAAATTAAGTCATTAAAAATAAAAATGCATTTGTGTAAGTAACAAATACTCAAAAATGACTGGACTGATTAAAAAAAAAATTGTAATTAGAATACTTCGTTATCTCCAAATAATATAACTTTTGAATTTCACTAGATTTTTAATTTAGGATAAATTCGGGGGTAATAACTAGCTCTAAATATTTTATAATCATTATATCAGTATTATAGTTTTAAAATTCCATGTCACAAACCTAATTAACAACTAATTCAATTAATTCCAGCTGAACAAATCATGTCCCCTACCAGAAGATTCAACAAAAACAGCGCCAACACAAACAGAGA